AACCATGGGGCACTGTTCCTCCCCCACTGACACCAACGATGGGGCACTGTTCCTCCCCCACTGACACCAACGATGGGGCACTGTTCCTCCCCCACTGACACCAACGATGGGGCACTGTTCCTCCCCCACTGACACCAACGATGGGGCACTGTTCCTCCCCCACTGACACCAACGATGGGGCACTGTTCCTCCCCCACTGACACCAACGATGGGGCACTGTTCCTCCCCCACTGACACCAACGATGGGGCACTGTTCCTCCCCCACTGACACCAACGATGGGGCACTGTTCCTCCCCCACTGACACCAACGATGGGGCACTGTTCCTCCCCCACTGACACCAACGATGGGGCACTGTTCCTCCCCCACTGACACCAACGATGGGGCACTGTTCCTCCCCCACTGACACCAACGATGGGGCACTGTTCCTCCCCCACTGACACCAACGATGGGGCACTGTTCCTCCCCCACTGACACCAACGATGGGGCACTGTTCCTCCCCCACTGACACCAACGATGGGGCACTGTTCCTCCCCCCACTGACACCAACGATGGGGCACTGTTCCTCCCCCCACACTGACACCAACGATGAGGCACTATTCCTCCCCCCACACTGACACCAACGATGGGGCACTATTCCTCCCCCCACTGACACCAACGGTGGGGCACTATTCCTACCTCCCCACTGACACCAACGATGGGGCACTATTCCTCCCACTGATACCAACGATGACGCTACCACTGATACCAAACGATGGGGCGCTATTCCTCCACTGATACCAACGATGGGGCGCTATTCCTCCCACTGATACCAACGATGGGGCGCTATTCCTCCCACTGATACCAACGATGGGGCGCTATTCCTCCCACTGATACCAACGATGGGGCGCTATTCCTCCCACTGATACCAATGATGGGGCGCTATTCCTCCCACTGATACCAATGATGGGGCGCTATTCCTCCCACCAATGATGGGGCGCTACCTCCCACTGATACCAATGATGGGGCGCTATTCCTCCCACTGATACCAATGATGGGGCGCTATTCCTCCCACTGATACCAATGATGGGGCGCTATTCCTCCCACTGATACCAATGATGGGGCGCTATTCCTCCCACTGACACCAATGATGGGGCACTATTCCTCCCACTGACACCAATGATGAGGCACTACTCCCACTGACACCAATGATGGGGCACTACCTCCCACTGACACCAATGATGGGGCACTATTCCTCCCACTGACTAATGATGCGGCACTATTTCATCCACTGACACCAATGATGGGGCACTATGCCTCCCACTGACACCAATGATGGGGCACTATTCCTCCCACTGACACCAATGATGGGGCACCTCCCACTGACACCAATGATGGGGCACTATTCCTCCCACTGACACCAATGATGGGGCACTATTCCTCCCACTGATACCAATGATGAGGCACTACTCCTCCCACTGACACCAATGATGGGGCACTATTCCTCCCACTGACACTAATGATGAGGCACTATTTCATCCACTGACACCAATGATGGGGCACTATGCCTCCCACTGACACCAATGATGGGGCACTATTCCTCCCACTGACACCAATGATGGGGCACTATTCCTCCCACTGACACCAATGATGGGGCACTATTCCTCCCACTGATACCAATGATGAGGCACTACTCCTCCCACTGACACCAATGATGGGGCACTATTTCATCCACTGACACCAATGATGGGGCACTATTCCTCCCACTGACACTAATGATGGGGCACCATCATTGGTGTCAGTGGATGAAATAGTGCCCCATCATTGGTGTCAGTGGGAGGAGTAGTGCCTCATCATTGGTATCAGTGGGAGGAATAGTGCCCCATCATTGGAATACCATACTGAAATAGCATACCATATTGAAATCAAATCTGATGTTTTTTCATTTTTATTTGGTGTGCGTTGGAAGAGGGGTAGTCTTATAGGGCGAGTATAGCTCAAACCCTATATTTTAACAGGAAAAGTAGGGGGTCGTCTTAAACGCCCAGTCGTCTTATACGCCGGAAAATACGGTACCTGCAGTTTCACAGAGCTCTGAATTTATTTTTTATAATTATGCCTTATTGTGTCCTGCGCTATAGGCTTAGAGAAAATGTAATGATCTGTGAGTTCTCTGAATGAAGATATTTATAATACAATAATTTCCATGAAATGCCTACTATGGGTAGCTGGCTATATTTTATATCTGTGATGCATGTATTCCATTATTTTCTATATAAGAAAGAGCAGGCAAGACTGTTAATGCCTTGTGTTACTGACTGGTTTACCCAAATACACAGGTAAATTACATTAGATCCAGGACTGTATTGTGAGTTCCTATTTGAAACAAAACCAGCTGAATAATAGCCTGGACTGTTCTGATCGTATTCTGAAGCTAAGCCCTTGTATAACAGCCAATAATTTGATACATGTGAGAATATCTGCATGTGTTTTAGAACACTGAGCTGTGTTTACATATTGGGGATTGAGCACAATAGCCGACTCCTGTTTTTCAGTCTGCTGTCATCCTTGTATGCAAAAGTGATATCACAGTAAGATTTAAAGTTGCACTTTGGACTGGAACACAAACATACATACCCTTCAAATGGGCCCCCCTGCACTCCAAGGGTTAACTGTTTTTTTTTCTGGGGGGTAGAGAAGTCTGTATTACAGTACTTGCCCTATTCGTTCCAGCTGGCTCCAGCACTCTCCTCTTCTCCCCATAGCTCCAGCCTGTGGGCAGTCCCTTGACGTCATCACGTACAATACAGGGCCATTAATCCTGCATTGTATATGGGGGGACAAGCATGTCGTTGCTGGGAGCACCTTAAAGACGAGGCTACAGCAACTTGGTCGCACAGATAGAAGGAGCCTGCTGGAGGGTGCAATAAGATGAGCACCTTTCCTCATTCCAACACTCCTAGACATAACAAGTGGTTAACCCTTGCAGTGTAGGGGGCCCCACTGCAAGAGAATGTTTTTGTTTCAGCCTGGAGTGTGAATGCATATTCAATAAAATGTAATGGATTTTAATGAGCCTAGTTTACAACATTGTGGAACTTTCATGTGAGATTGAAGGGCTCGTTTAGACCAAATGCAGCCAAACACTGTCTGGACTGGGACACACATGAATGTACCTCAAATGTCTGTAAATGCAACTCAGTAGAAAGAAGAAAAATCTCTTAATAATGCCAAAATAACCACCATAAAAGTGTTACAAAAGCATGTAAATATGCATGAGGAACTGTACACTAAAGAAAAGGATTGGGGTATAAAAGAGCCCTAATAAAAGCACAGCATGCTGCATTTTTTGCACACATAAACTTCTACAACACATTGCAATCCCCATGTAAATGCAATTTAGTAAAAAAAAATAAATAAAAATCATTGATGACAAAAAACGCACTGCAGACACACCACAAATGCATGTAAATGTGGAATTGCACACTAAACGCAGGGACTGCGATGTAAATGAGCCCTCAGTGATAAGCAGACTCATAAAAATCTCTATTGCCAGGTTGAAATCTAGAATTACCATCCTTGTTATACGATGTGACGGCTCGAGTGCATTATGGTTGTGTGACCGTTTGTCAGGACACTTTACTGTCTGGTCAGGAATAATGCCACTAATACATTTTACTGAATGGCAGCACTGACATCTGTCAGTTGAGGTTTCACATGCCTAGCACTGGAAACGTTTACAGCTGATGTTGTAGAACAGGAATATCTGGATGAGCATTGACTAAAAGACAAACGGCTTAGTAAATACATAAACGTTTCCATGCCTTATATCCGCAGTTGATGACTGCTGTTTGCTTCCTGCGCACTCAGACTCGGTCTCCAGGGAGGCTCAGCTTTCTATTTGGATTGTATGTTTATTATATAATGATGTACCACTTGTATGTATTGCTGTGTACTGTGTGTTTCTCAGCTCCTGTTTGTGTTTCTCTCATGCGCCAGGATCTCAGTGGGGGTTGTTACAGAACACAACGTATATAATACATTGAGTTCCAGTATAAACAACCATGCATACCATACAAATATTTAAATGCCGAGAGCATGTTTTGTTTATGATTTGACTTACTTGATGCTACATGAATATAGTTTAGAGTGTGGTGTAATAATATCAAATGAAAACTACTATCAACACTCAAGCACCATGTTATTAAGTAAAAAATAATTAAAAGTTTCTGATATGTAGAGTTAGGAACCAAATGCACTATCCTGGTAATACACTGTGCAGACATTCATGCATTGGGGTGCAATCTTCATCCATTTAATGCATTATAGTGTACCACAATTTTTTTCCTCACTGTAAAAATGCAATAAATTGCAACATTTTATTTTTTTGCATAAAGGAATGTTACAGCGCATTTATTTTGAATGGACTGCCTAACAACTTGACTTGTAATTAGGCTCATCAGTGGTAGTATTCAATATTGTGCAGGTCATGTGCACTATGACCTGTAAAATATTACTCATGAAGTTTTCAGTAAAACTGGAAAACCTTTTTAAAAATAAAGTTTGTCTTCTGAAATGGGGGACTCCAGTGCCCCTTTCACACATATGCAGGTGTAACAGTGTGCATGTGTTTGTGCACATTACATTTATCCTTGTGCACAAAAATCACACAAGAGAAGTGCATTACTTTTTTTTTCTTTTTTTTTTTTTTTGTGTGTGTTCTACACCAAAACGTATGGTACCTTGGCGCCATGTGCTTTGGCGCACAATTTCCCGCACTTTAGCAAGGTGGGTTGCAGTACCATTAAGAATTGATGGCACTGCCACATGCCTGCAAAAGGGATGCATGTGAAATGCGAACCTAGCCTAAGAGGGGAAGATTACATCATATTTGTTGTGATTTATGCAGTTGATCATCATTGCAATATCTACAGGACAAAGACTCTGCATGCTTTCTTTTGTAGTAATTAAAACTGTTTAGTTCCAGGCTGACCTTTAACATCAAAATGTATTTCTTTTGCAGGAAAAATATTTGTTCCTAAACAAAAGCCCAAAGATTTCCATACAGAGGAGACGTTATCACTTGATCCGGAGCTGGAAGAGGCATTGAGCAGTGCCACAGACACAGAACTGTGTGACCTTGCAGGTTAGCATTTAATAGACAAACTGGCTCATAAATAGTTAATACATCTAAACTAGACTGGACTGTTTGTTAAATGCATCTACACTGAATGAATGTGATTGCATTAGACTGCTTTTTAAAACACTTCATAAAATTTCAAGGTCTGCCTTGCTGAATACCCCCACTTCCTCAAGGTGCCCGTTACATTGTTGCCACCTTCCAGGAAACCTGAGTGCTCAAAATCCCAAGGTCGGTACTGTAAAAAAAAAAAATAAATAAATTGGGTTTGCTCAGAGTGGGGCTTTAATTACATTAAACTGATTGTAAACCTCCGATATGACATATGAACAAAGCACATCCCTCTATAGTACCTCTTTGTTCCACTGCCATCAGCATGAATTGCTTCTGACAAGCTTTCCTGGCACCCAAGAGAAAAATGGTGACAGGGGAAGGGACCTCCAGCAGATTGACAGCCTCAGCTCTGTTCCTGTGAGATGTGTGGAGGGGGGTGTCTCTTCACTCCAATCAGCTCTCAGACCTCCCCTCACTGAGCTCTGCAGTGTGTAATTTCAGCTTGCCACACCCTGTTTTCTGAACTCTCAGATAAGATTTATAAATTTAACACTGTGAGGTAGAGAAGAGAAGATTGCAGATAGACAAATACAACTTATTTAAGAGGGTTTGTTTAATCTCTGAGTATCATCTGAGGCCAGTCACCTCACTGGGTATATGTAAGGGTTTACAACCACTTTAAGGTAAAATACGTGCAGCAACACATGTATTTTAATATGACATTTAAAAAATGATTGTTTTGTACAGGCCCAAAAATGTTATGAATAGAGTAAGCATTGATAACATGTGAATAAGACAGTTCATTTATGGAAAATTCATAATGTGGATTCTTAATACATATTTGTTTATATATTTTTAGCAATCCTTGGAATGCACAATCTGCTGCCAAATAACGCCAGCAATGGTTATGATAGTCAAGGATTTCCAAGTAAGTAGTAAAGCTTTGTGTATATTTACTGATTTGTAAACATTTGCAACTAAAGATAGGCTTGGTTGTTAAGAGATCATTCATTTTAGAAAATTGTCTAATGATCATTGCAACATGTATGCTGTATACTTGGCAGGCACCAAAGTGCTATTCTTATTTTAGACTGCATTCACACTATAGCAGTGCCTGAATGCGTTTATGAAATGCACAAAAAACACACGCCATCTTTGCAGTGCCATTAATTATTAATGACACCCCAAATTTGGCAAGCAGACGTGTTTTTTGCTTGATCAATGCTCAAAACCATGCAGTTAAATGTGCAAAGCACAAAAGGGTGCATTGCCTCACGTAGAGCAGCCCACTGAAATGATTGAGCTGCCCTATGTGAATAGTGTATGAACAAAAAATTACATGCATGTGAATGGTACCTGACACCTGCGTCATAGCGTGAATGGAGCCTTAGGGAAACAATAACTGAATCAGTCTGGCCAATACACTCATCCGGGTTCTGGGAGCAGGATATATTCTGAGCTTTGTTCATTGCCAGATAACTCTACAGTTAGTGTTACAAGTCTATTGTAATAGCTTCCTATGCCAAACCGTAACATTTGTATGGCCCTACTGATGTGAAAACCTATCCACATTTGTTCAACTAAAAATAGGAAGGGAAAGTGAACTAGTTAACCGCCTTCCAGCTGTCTTATAGCAGAAATACTGCTACAGGGCAGCAGGGCTGCGCAAAATCGCACACACACACACATTTGCATTTCCGGTAGGGGGTTCACGCCAGTTATTCATCGTCGAGTATCACTGATGGGGGGGGAGACCTGTATGCAAACAATACAGATCTCTCCCCTGTCAGCTCCTGCACACTGCTTTGTATTGCTCTGCATAGCAGAGTTAACCCTTTGATCACCCCAGATGCTAACTCCTTGCCCAGTGCCATTAGTACAGTGTCAGTGTTTTTTATTAGCACTGATCACTGTATTAGTGTCGCTGGGGATGTCAGTGACAGTTCCCCCCAGTGTCAGAATGCCCACTGCAGTCCCGCTATAAGTCGCTGATCGACACCGTTACTAGTATATAAAAAAAATTGGGATTTTTTTTTTTTTTTTTTAGCAAAGATGTAGCAGAATACATTTTGGCCTAAATTTCTGAAGAAATTAGATTTTTAAAAATTTTTTACTGGATATGTTTAATAGCAAAAAGTCAAAAATGTTTTTTTCTCAAAATTGTCGGTCTTTTTTTGTTTATAGCGCAGAAAATAAAAACCGCACAGGAGATCAAAAACTACTGAAAGAAAAGCTCCATTTTTGGGAAAAAATGGACATAAATGTAATTTGGGTGCAGTGTTGCATGACCAGCAATTGTCAGTTAAAGTAATGCAGCACCCTATCGTGAGAAATGGCCTGTTTAGGAAGGGGGGTAAATCCTCTGGAGGGCAAGGGGTTAATGTATATTCTCTGAGCATAGCATGTATTTATAAATGAAACCCGTTACTACACAAGTCTGTGGCCTCAGAGGATTGTAATTGCACACAATAACTTACTTCCTCTTATGAATGAATAATTCTAAGTCAGCCTTCCAAATGATTCTCCAGAACTTGTAAGTCAATCCTAGTAGGTAACTCTGACTCCTATTATGGCCAGGGTGCTCTCCACTATATACAGACCAAACTGCTTACCTCTCTTATACACTTTCCTTGTTCTTGTTTTATAAATTTGTGTATTTTCTACTTATTAATAGATGTGGTGAAAGCAGAGGCACTACTGCCTGTCTTTGATGAACCTCCAAATCCCACCAACGTGGAAGAGAGTTTAAAAAGGATCAAAGACAATGACCCACGATTAACCGAAGTTAACCTGAATAACATAAAGGTGATATTATGGATGCAATGTTAAGACAACGGCACTTTGCTTTAAAGAATATGGTAAAGAGTCTAAAACACTTATTAAAGGAGCAGTACAGCCAAAGCTCTTTTGGCTGTACCTCTCCTATGGATCATAGGAGTGCAGTTCTGCACTTCTGTGACCTGTTTTCAGCTGTCAGTTGATGTCACTCAGCTGGTCCAGGCTGGGGAAAGATCCCGACTTTAAAGTTGGGATGTACCCCAGACTCTGGAGCGGCACCTCCTGCCTCAGCCTCTCTGCTGAGAGCCTGAGCTGCTCCCTCTCCCTCCACAGCCCAGTACTCCAGTGAGCGCAGGAAAAGGGGGGGGGGGGGGCAAAACGGACAGTGGTGACTGACGGTCACCGCTGTCTGCTCAGACTGGCTGTGAGAACTCAGCGGTCATGTGATCTTTGAGTTGTCACACTTAGAGCCAGCGGAAGACAGATGCAGCATCGGACCAAAATAATTTTTTTTTTTTTTTTTTAGGATACATTTTTAAAATAAATTTCACCTACTAAGATGCAGACTTATCTCGTATGCTGCCTCTTGTTGTTCTGACTTTTCTGTTGTTTCAGCTGCCCCCCCCCCCATCTCTGGCCATGATACCTGGACTAGAGAACACCCTGTGTGCTTTCCGGTCCAGACTAATACTGAATGGAAGTGTATCCATTCAAACACACAACCCAAGCAAGCCATTCTCTCCCCCCCCCCCCCCCCCCCCCCTCCAAACTTATTGGCTGCTGGTGCTTGTGCTATGCTCTTTGATCTGGGTGAGTGCTTGCTTTCACTTCAAAGGACGTTGGAGAAGCCGCACTGAGAACCCAGAACCAGCGGTGGGGAATAAGAGAATGTGTTTCTGCACACATACATTGCATGTTGTGCTGTGGGGGATGTTTACCACATTGCTTAGTATGCATGGATTAAACATGTTTACTACCACTTTAACTAGTTGACTTGAGGAAGTTATAAATCATGTGAATTAAATATAACTGTTCAAACACTCCTGTCTTTGTTTTGTCCCAAAACCCGTCATTTTTACTGGACACCTTGGTCTGTACGGTTTGAAATAGAAATTTATGTACAGAATTAAAGTGTTCCTAAACCACAACAGTAAAATCAGTCTGTATATGCAGTAAAGCATGCTTGTTATACTCACTGTGTAACCTAAGGGGTTATTCCTCTGCATTGTGTAAAAAGGCCGTTTTGATTCTTTCTTCTCTTTTTCTCCTTTTTTTTCAAGCGACCACCTCTTATCTCCAGACTGATCCATTGACATGCACATGCTCAGTTTTGTGTGTATTGCTAGAGAGGTTTTTTTTTTTTCTTGGGAGGGTGCCTGTGATCAGCACAGGGATAATCAGCACTGTCCAGACAGAGGGTCAGGGGTTTTGCATCCTCCAAGAGAAGAAAGAAAACTTCTCCTACAAGTTTTAGCTAGTGCTGGGCTGGACACAGAAGTCACAAGACTGCTATGTACTGCCAATGAGAAAAGGTATTTAGCAGTTTATATTTACTAAAATAATTGCACGTCCATGTTCTGTGTACTGTGAGAGACCAGATATAGTGATTGCAGGGTCCTGGGTTTAGTAACACTTTAATTAAATGTATTTACTGCTTACTTGTGTGAATGCAGCATTTTTCCTAATTGTTTCCCCACAAAATGAATACTTTGATTATATGGGCATCATGTTTTAACTTTTTTTTTTTTTTTTTTCCCCAGAATATCCCAATTCCCACCTTAAAGGAATTTGCAAAGGCTTTGGAAAAAAACACACAAGTTAAAAAATTCAGTGTTGCAGCAACAAGAAGCAATGATCCAGTTGCAGTGGTAAATATGTATTTGTTTTCATTCTGAAGCCGTTTAATATATTAGTTCAGCGACTATTTGCCATAGAAAGGGGGGAATGCTTTTAGTTCAGGGGTAGGCAACCTTAAAGAGGTGTAGATCTACCTGACCAACATGGGAGAAGTCAAAGATCACTGGCACAGTGTCACCTCCTCACAGCTGATTTAAACCTCTAATTGCCATATTACCGTGTTGCAATCGTGAGCATCGCACAGCAATCATGGGTTTAATACAGGTGGTGAGGTCAGTACCTGTCAAAAACACTGATTGCTTTTCAGAGGAGCAGCAGTGCCTACTGCACTTGTGAATGAGCCCGTAGTTGCATTTTGGCAGCGGCACCCTTAGGGCTGGTTCACACATAACGTTAGGGAGTGGTAAAACTCTGCAGCTGATTCATGGTTTTACTGCCCCAAACCCTACCCCCTTTAGCTGCTGAAGCAGCAGCCAAAGGTGTACACATGCCAGGAAATAAACTCGCTGTTTCTTTTGGTGGGATCTACTGCCTGACAAGCGAATGTGGCCGCTCTGCAAGTGCCCTTCAACCTTGTGCAGTACAGCAAACAAGGGGCTAAATCAGGCAGTGTTGTTTTGCTTTCTCACCACTTCTTTAACCCCATGAACAGATGCATGCAGTTGCAGGGAGCTTGCAGAGTGGCCCCATTTACTTGAATGGGTCGTGATTGGCAGGCGGTAGCACCCACCAAAAGCAATAGCACAGCATCCACCAATCATGACATGGCATATAGCTCCTGCTTTGGCCGCAACATGTGTACAACATGTCTACTTCAGCTGAAGAGTGTGCAGTTGGGGCAGGGGTGGTAAAATCACATCTTAACTATGGGGTTTTACCACCCCCAAACTGCGAATGTAAGTGAGCCCTTACTGTTCTGAGCTCCTTTAAGGCTGCTTTTACACTGATGTGCTGCAGTTTACTAGCACCACGCGTGCAGAGCAGTGCATCTGTGACTTTCCTGGGTTAGCTGCATTTTGCCATAGACTTCTATTATATCCTGCAGGTGTGGTGCACTTTCTGAAAGCACACCGAAACTCCTGAATGCAAGAGTATTGTTGTGATTTCAGAAAGTGCACCAAACCTGCAGGATATAATAGAAGCCTATGGCTAAGCGCAGCAAACCCTCAGGAAAGCTGCAGGTACACTGCGTTTTGGGTAAACCGCAGCACATCAGTGTGAAAGCAGCCCTATACTATTATGCCCAGTGTATTACTTCACACTGACATGAAGATCTCTCCTTTCCTGCTGCTGGCACCACTCTGGAGACCACTAGCCGGGATAAGAGATGGAGTGCAGTTGGTATCACTCCACATGGGACAGGAGCCAGCACTACGGAGGAGGCATCAGCTTATGTGGCTCTTGCTCCCTAATACAGCTCCAACTTTACAAGTAGTCCCTCTGATTGCACTGTTTGATGCTCTGGAATGGTGGGTCAGCAAGCCCAGACCACGATCTACCAGCCACCTGGGTGCTATCTACTGGCAGGGCACGATCTGCAGGTTGCTGACCCCCCATTTTAGTTATAGTGTTGCTACAGAATTAAAGAGAATTTATCCTGTGTTGGTTTAAGTTACCGGTATTTATTGCATGACTTCACATGGCTTTAATGTTTATGAGTTTTGTTTGTCTTCTATTCAAGAACAATACTATATGGCTTAAAAAATACCAGATAACACATAGGATATCTGTAGCTCTAATTGTCGTAAACGTGTAAGATTAAGAAATGCAATGTGCACTGCATAATAATGCCAGAGGAGGGGAGGTGGGCACAAACACTAGAATATATGCAATAGAAAACCAGCTAACAAATCAGTTGTTTTAGCTATTGTATTATAGCAGTATCTTAAATAGAATGCATCTCTTAAAGTGATATTTTTTTTCATTAAAATAACAAACATGTCTATACTTACCTGCTCTGTGCAATGCTTTTGCACAGAGTAGCCCCGATTCTCCTTTTCTGGGGTCTCCGGCTGGCACTCCAGGCCCCTCCAATGTGAGGGGTGCCCCAATGGAAAGCTGCTCTTCATGGGGGCACCCTTGCGGGCTTGCTTCTGAGCCTCCCTGTCTGCGTCTGTTGACACAGAGCAGGCGGCTCGACCCCGCCCTGCTCCTGTGTCACAGCAATTTACTGACAGCAGAATCCCACTGCTATCAATCTGCTCAATGAGGAAGGAGATGGTGGCTGGAGCTGCTGCTCTCATGCACATCACTGGATTGGACATGGCTCGGGTAAAAAAAAAAAGGGGGGGGGGGGCTGCTGCACAGAAGGTTTTTCACCTTAATGCATAGAACTCATTAAGGTGAAAAACCTTAAGGCTTTAGAACCACTTTAAAGTAAATGTATAATTTTCCTGTTTTTTTTTTTTTTTTTTTTTTTCTTGTTCTAAGGCATTTGCTGACATGTTGAAGGTAAACCGAAGTCTGAAGAGTTTAAATATTGAATCCAATTTTGTCACTGGAACAGGCATCTTGGCTTTGTTAGAGGCACTAAAAGAAAATGAAAGTTTACGAGAAATTAAAATTGACAATCAGGTAAGGCTTTCTTGGTATATTTCAATGCTGTATGCAGCAGAATACGCCTTATGGCCTTTTGGTGTTCCCCAAACACATCTGCAGTGTTGCTCTGGCAGATATGTAAATGGTGTTGGATTGTTTCAGTAGGGCCCATTCCATTTAGTTCACACAGACAAGCAGAGCCAAATCTAGCATTATGCACAACATGTCCACCACCAGTTCTTAAATGCCTGCATCAGTACAGATAGGCTTTTATAAATTCAGCATACCATACTTACAATGGCACAGGGAAATGGCACAAGCCATTGTGGGGAAGCATCCCAGACATGGCAAAACCCTTCACAGATGTCCCTGATTCCAGGGACTTTGCCATATCAAGTGTATCTGTTTTGTAGTTAATTTTTTACATTGAAGCTAATATGGCATACATGATTGGTCATATTCAGAATGAAGCCCCAAGTGATCAGGCTAACTCTAACCACAGCCAGAACTTTTAAAGCATTCTAGGCCACTGGCATGCTTTGTGTGATTTTTTTTTTTCCAGGATATTTAATATATATTTTGAACAATTTATCAATGGGACAACAAAGAAAATGAGCTAAAGTATATGGTAAACTTAAGCAGTGTAAAGCAGGCCATAGATGGATCGAAATTCAACCAGTTCCATCTGTGGCTGTTTCCGTATGACAGAAGTCAATCTAATGAGATGTTTGAAAATCGTTCTCGATCTGTGGCCGCAGCCAATTGACTGCAGCAGTGATCAGTGTATTCTGACAGCAGAGGAGTTCTGTCAGAATACAATGTTTCAGCGGGGAGAATTCCTCCATCCAGTGTGTGTGTGTGTGCGTGCGTGTTCGTTCGTTCGTTCAAAAAAACCCCCATGCTTGCCTAGCTTTAAATACCTGAATTCAAAATGGTATCTGCCCATTCAAAATTCATATGCAAGAAACATGCCATTAGGAGGGGATAGCCGCTGCTCTTTCACTGTCCAGTAAGCATGGTGGGGTGGAGAGAGGACACAACTGTAATCGTTAACATGTATCTATGGTCAAAATGGAACATCAGAAATTCATTTCTACATTGAATTTCATTTATTTCTAGCCTAATCATATTAATCTAAACAAACTAGAAATTTGTAAATGTATTTTAGGAGATTCCTCTCGTATTCACTTCCTTGAGTCCTGTGACACGTATTCTCTATGACCTATGAATAGGCACGAGGGGAATCCAGGAAGCTAGTAAATGGAATGAGGAAAGGATCGCCGCTACTCCCTACCAGCCCAGAAAAATAAATGATACAGAGCGGTGTCAGCCTACATGTCTCCACCAAACCAGACAACCCTATGCAATTTGTCTCACCCACTAGGGCTTGGTGACCCTATGGCTAAGGTTGGCCATATGTCATGCAATTTTCCTTTAGATTTGATATATATGGTTTTGGTAAATCTAAACACTCAATTTGTATGCAGTCAGGCACTCCCTTGCCCTACATAGTTAAAGGTAAATCTAAATGAAATTGAACAAGAAAATTGTATATTGTATGGTCAGCTTAAGTCCCGGTGGGTGGGGTAAAGTGCACCAGGGTGTGTGGTTTGGTGGAGACATGTAGGCTGAGCCTGCTCCTTATCGTTTACTCACCTGAGCTGGTTGGAAGTAGTAACGATCCTCTACATTTACTAGCCCTCTGGATTGGTATACTCTGGGATACAGGGATATGCTTTTACTACTCTAGTTTGAGTGGATTACAGGAAGTTGTGGAAAGAGATGGCCAGCAAACAGGCAGAGCTCACAACATGAAAGGAGGGTTTCCAAGTAAGCTTATATTGGATTGTCAAAAATAACTATTGTTTGTATTGTTCTTACAGTGCTTATGGTATAAAAATGAATGTGACCATAGAAGAGAGTTATGTAGAGCTGTGTAAATCTCAAAACTGGATGGACAAATATATACAGATCTTTTGGTAGGAAAAATGGGCTCACTTATGTATTATTGGTGCATTTATGTGTTTGCTGGGATTTCAGCATTAATGTGAGGCAGAAGCCACTAGTAACCAGATACCCATTATGTTGACATCAGCACAGAAAACTTCCCTACTTTTGTAAGAGTCCTAACTACTCACCTAATTGTAGAAGTGAGATCACAACTGTTTGCCATGGGATACAGTACTGCAATCTGAGGTAATAATAAGATGAACCATAATCTGGTATAATTTTGACTTTAACACAGCCCTGCACTCTAGTATGACACAGTTTTAGGTCACATTTTGACTGCATATTCATTTTCCGAAAGGAAAATGGTGCATAAGATTAGGTAATTTTAATATTTTGACATTGTTAGTTGCATTATTTCCTAATACAGTGGGGGAAAAAAGTATTTAGTCAGCCACCAATTGTGCAAGTTCTCCCACTTAAAAAAGATGAGAGAGGCCTGTAATTGGCATCATAGGTAGACCTCAACTATGAGAGACAAAATGAGAAAAAAATCCAGACAATCACATTGGCTGATTTGCAAAGAATTTATTTGAAAATTATGGTGGAAAATAAGTATTTGGTCACCTACAAACAAGCAAGATTTCTGGTTTCACAGACCTGTACCTTCTTCTTTAAGAGGCTCCTCTGTCCTGCACTCATTACCTGTATCAATGGCACCTGTTTGAACTTGTTATCATTATAAAAGACACCTGTCCACAACCTCAAACAGTCGCACTCTAAACTCCACTATGGTGAAGACCAAAGAGCTGTCGAAGGACACCAGAAACAACATTGTAGACCTGCACCAGGCTGGGAAGACTGAATCTGCAATAGGCAAGCAGCTTAGTGTGAACAAATCAACTGTGGGAGCAATAATTTGAAAATGGAAGACATACAAGACCACTGATAATCTCCCTCAATCTGGGGCTCCACGCAAGATCTCACCCCGTGGGGTCAAAATGATCACAAGAGCGGTGAGCAAAAATCTCAGGACCACACGGGGGGACCTAGTGAATGACCTGCAGAGAGCTGGGACCAACGTAACAAAGGCTACCATCAGTAACACACTACACTGCCAGGGACTCAGATCCTGCAGTGCCAGACGTGTCCCCCTGCTTAAGCCAGTACATGTCCGGGCCCGTCTGAAGTTTGCTAGAGAGCATTTGGGTGATCCAGAAGAGGATTGGGAGAATGTCATATGGTCAGATGAAACCAAAATAGAACTGTTTGGTAGAAACACAACTCGTCGTGTTTGGAGGAGAGAGAATGCTGAGTTCCATCCAAAGAACACCATACCTACTGTGAAGCATGGGGGTGGCAACATCATGCTTTGGGGCTGTTTCTCTGCCAAGGGACCAGGACGACTGATCCATGTACAGGACAGAATGAATGGGGCCATGTATCGTGAGATTTTGAGTGCAAACCTCCTTCCATAAGCAAGGGCATTAAGGATGAAATGTGGCTGGGTCTTCCAATATGACAATGATCCCAAACATACCGCCCGGACAACGAAGGAGTGGCTTCGTAAGAAGCATTTCAAGGTCCTGGAGTGGCCTAGCCAGTCTCCAGATCTCAACCCCATAGAAAACCTTTGGAGGGAGTTGAAAGTCCGTGTTGCCCAGCGACAGCCCCAAAACATCACTGCTCTAGAGGAGATCTGCATGGAGGAATGGGCCAACATACCAGCAACAGTGTGTGCCAACCTTGTGAAGACTTCCAGGAAACGTTTGACATCTGTCATTGCCAAGAAAGGATATATAACAAAGTATTGAGATGAACTTTTAATATTGACCAAATACTTATTTTCCACCATAATTTGCAAATTAAATTCTTTCCAAATCAGCCAATGTGATTGTCTGGATTTTTTTTCTCATTTTGTCTCTCATAGTTGAGGTCTATCTATGATGCCAATTACAGGCCTCTCATCTTTTTAAGTGGGAGAACTCGCGCAATTGGTGGCTGACTAAATACTTTTTTGCGCCACTGTAAGTACCAAAACCTCAGAAAGATTAATAGAAGTTACCATTTCATCTTGGCTATGCTTGTCTTTGTTTTTTTATCATTTCATTTTTTCAATTTTCCAACAGAGACAACAGCTGGGAACTGAAGTGGAGATGAAGATTGCTCAACTGCTGGAGGAAAATTCATCGATTCTTAAATTTGGATATCACTTTACACAGCAAGGTCCACGGACAAGGGCAGCCGCTGCCATAACAAAGAACAACGATCTCGGTAATGCAAGATGTGTTTTACTTCATCTTACATATTATTGAGGCTGTTGCCAATTATTTTCACTGTTTATTAAATTAAGCAACACACACACACACACACCAACCATTCACAAAGTATTCAGACTCCCTTCACTTTTTGCACAATATTTTTTTTGCATACAATAAAAAAAGAAGAAAAAAAAAAAATGACAATGAAAAACAACAAAATGAAGGTGCCCTGGGTTCATTGCGTTTCTTCAGGAAGACAGGGATAAATATGGCTCCCAGTGGTTGAAGACCTGTATGTAAACCAAAAAATACTCCCAGCATAGCAAGTACCGTACACAGAACAGCACCTAAGGTCAACCTGTGTGTACATGTATGTATGTATGTGTATATATTATATACACATACTATATTGGCAAAAGTATTGGGACGCCCCTCCAAATCATTGGATTCAGGTGTTCCAATCAACTCCATGGCCACAGGTGTATACAATCAAGCACCTAGGCATGCAGACTGCTTCTACAAACATTTGTGAAAGAATGGGTCTCTCTCTTGAGCTCAGTGAATTCAAGTGTGGTACCATGTAGGTTGCCAACTGTCTATAAGTCCATCCGTGAAATCTACTTGCTACTAAATATTCCCTGGCCAACTGTTAGAGGTATTATAACAAAGTGGAAGCAACTGGGAACAACAGCAACTCAGCCACGAAGTGGTAGGCCACTTAAAATGACAGAGCTGGGTCAGTGCATGCTGCATCGCACATTGCGCAGAAGTCACCAACTGTCTGCAGAGTCAATAGCTAAAGACTTCCAAACTTCGTGTGGCCTTCAGATTAGCACAACAGTGTGTAGAGAGGTTCATGGAATGGGTTTCCATTGCTGAGCAGCTGCATCCAAGCCTTACATCACCAAGTGCAATGCAAAGCGTTGGATGCAGCAGAGTAAAGCACGCCATCAATGGACTCTAGAGCAGTAGAGACGTGTTCTCTGGAGTGACGAATCACTCTTCACTGTCTGGCAATCTGATAGACGTTTCTTGGTCTGGCAATTGCCAGGAAAACGGTACTTGCCTGATTGCATTGTGCCAAGTGTAAAGTTTGGTGGAGGGGGGATTATGATGTGGGGTTGTTTTTCAGGGGTTGGGCTTGGCCCCTTAGTTCCAGTGAAGGGAACTCTTAAGACGTCAGCATACTAAGATGTTTTGGACAATTTCATGCTCCCAACTTTGTGGAAACAGTTTGGGGATGGCCCCTTCCCTGTTCCAACATCACTGCACACTAGTGCACAAAGCAAGGTCCATAAAGACATGGATGAGCAGGTTTGGGGTGGAGGAACTTGACTGGCCTGCACAGAGTCCTGACCTCAACCCAATAGAACACCTTTGGAACGAATTAGAGCAAAGACTGTGAGCCAGGCCTTCTTGTCCAACATCAGTGCCTGACCTCACATGCGCTTCTGGAAGAATGGTCAAACATTCCCATAGACACACTCCTAAACCTTGTGGACAGCCTTCCTGGTAGAGTTGAAGCTGTTATAGCTGCAAAGGGCGGGCCAACTTAATATTGAACCCTATGGACTAAGACTGGGATGCATTAAAGTTCATGTGCATGTAAAAGCAGGCATCCCAATACTTTTGGCAATATAGTGTTTGTATATGGGTCCTTGCATATATTAGAATAAAAGATCGCATTGACTAAAGCGTACACTCAAATCCAGAGGTGCTTAACTTAGGGGCAGGTCTTCCATAAGTGCTTCACGTCGCCCGGGTCTGAACACCCCTCAAAACAGGGCGCAGGCTACGCTGCTAGATATTTCCCCTTCACTTTTTTCAATTTTGTTGCCTTTTCAAATCATGTCCAATCAATTTAATTTGCCACAGATGGACTCCAATGAAAGTGTAGATACATTCAACAACAATCAATAGACATGGGAGGCACCTGAGCTAAGCTAAATTTCAAGTGTTGTTGGAAAGGGTCTCAATACTTATGCCAATGTGATATTTCTTTTTATTTTATTTTTAATAAATCCACAGACATTTCTAAAATTGAAGGGGGTCTGAATACTTTCTGAATGATTGATATATTTACACACTCACTGGTCACTTTACTAGGTACACCTGTTCAGTTGCTTAGTAAAAAAAATTGCTAATCAGCCAATCACATGGCAGCAACTCAATGCATTTACACATCTAGACATGGTGAAGATGACTGACTTGCTGAAGTTCAAACTACGCATCACAATGGGGAAGAAATGGGATTTAAGTGACTTTGAACGTGGCAAGGGTGTTGGTGCCAGATGGGCTGGTCTAAGTGTTTCAAAACTGCTGATCTACTGGGATTTTCACGTACAACCATCTCTGGGGTTTACAGAGAATGGTCCAAAAAAGATAAAATATCCAGTGAGCAGCAGTTGTGTGGACAAAAATGCCTTGTTGATCTCAGAGGCCAGAGGAGAATGGGTTGTTTGGTTTGAGATGATAGGCAACAGTTACTCCTGTCAAAATGGACCAAAATCTCTGAGGAATATTTCCAACACCTTGTTGAATATCTGTCATGAAGAATTTAGGCAGTTCTGAAAGCAAAAGGGGGGTCCAACCCAGTACCAGCAAGTACCAGTGCACCTAATAAAGTGGCCGGTGAGCTTAGTTCTTTTTATTTGGCAGGTAGTATGAGAAGCACATTTTGAGCTCCTTACCCAGTTAAACTCCACCTTATAGCAGTTTTACTGCTACAGGGTAGACTTCCTACACAAAATCACGTGTGTGCTGTGATTTGGTGCAAAACCAATCTGATCCAGAGGTCTTCCTGTGCCTGTGTTTACATTACACAGGAAATTATGCAATCCTCTTTCCCTGGACCACATTCCAGTCCATAGAGAGAAGAAAGCAGATCCACATGAGTTAAAGCACTACACTGAGACAGTAAAAGTACAGCTAGGTCACATTTAACCCCTTGATTGCCCCCCCCCCCAGTTAACGCTTTCACTGCCCTGTCACCAGTGTTATTATTACAGTGTACAGATTTTTTATTTATTTTTATTTTTACTGATCACTGTATTAGTGTCACGGGCAACTTCAGATAGCTTTAGCATCAGTTAACGTCCCTCCCAGATAACGTCAGATTGCCTGCCACTGCATCAGTCATCACATTTAAACCTTTGTTGGCTGGGAACACGCTCACGTACACAATAAACCTCCATTGCTAGTATAGTGTCTGAACGGATCAATATCTTTGATCAGATCAGCACTATACCAGCGTTCACAATAGTTTAGTGTTCTCAAAAACACAGCGCTAGCAGGATCAGCCGGACACCTGCCACTACCTATGTTTAGCCCCTACACTTAACCCCCCCCCCCCTTCTCCCCCCAGCAAGTGCAGTGTCAGTACATCACTGTCACTTAGTACATTGCATGCAAAACTGCAGGGTTAGCAAGATCAGGCCTGATCTCTGCTAGCACCAGCAGGTAATTTTTTTTATGTAGTGGTTCAAGCAAAGCAGTCCCTGACAGCCAGGTGCTCTTTTTCCTGTGAGTTGCACTAGGTACCTTTTAAATTTAGTGGCCAAAATGTCCAACGAAAGGTACACTAGTGAAGAGGCCTACAGGCTTCTGATTATGTCAGATGAGAGTGAAGGGGAAGCCTCATTGACAGAATCTAGCTCAGAATACGACCCTGTGGAGAGCAGCGGCACCCTGACAGATAGGTCAGACGATGGAGTAGAGGTCCCTGCTAAGGTCAGGCGTACCTGACCCCATTCCCAGGTTGCTGAGGTGTTACAATTACATGATTCTCATGCAGCAGAGTGCCAGTACTAGTGCCACTCTTCCTTTTGGTGAACTGGTGAGCAGCAGCGGCCTAGTACATCCTGGTCTTTTACATACCAGCACTGCAGTATCACTTGGTGACGTGGCAAGTCCCATAAGTGCAGTACAAACTGGTGCGATGGCTAGCACGGGGAGTGACCCAAAGCCACCAAGAATTCGAACACAGGCCCGTAGAGCCCATAGTATCCTACACATTCTGCAGCACCCGTACTTCCCCCATTCACTGCCCAACCTGGAATTCAGGTGGAAACAGCAAATTTAACTACTCCCCTTTTTTTTTGGAGCTGTTTTTCACAGATGATTTGTATAATTTGATTGTGGACCAAAGCAATTTATACACAATAATGTATTGCCGCCAACCCAAATTCAAACCTTGCCAGACTATTTGCATGGAAACCTATTACGGTTTCCGAATTTAAAATTTCTTTTGGGCTTAAAAAGAATGAGTTGCGGTTGAATTGGTCTACAGACCAAATTCATTATATGCCCGTGTTCTCTGCTGCCATGGCCAGGCATAGATATGAGAATGTACTGCAATGTATGCATCTCAACGGCAATACACTCTATTGTCCTCGGGGTGACCCTGAATATGATATATGCTCCACAAAATTCGGCCCTTCATAAATCACCTTAACCAGAAATTTGCAGATGTGTATACACCCCAGCAAAACATCTGCGTTGATGAATTCCTTATTAATTTTTCTGGCCGCCTTGCATTCAAACAATTTCTCTGCAGCAAGCGTGCCAGATATGGGGTCAAGATGTAGAAGACCTGTGAGAGGGCAACAGATTACATATGTAATTTCTGAGAAAAAAGATAGTCATGTGGAGCCCCCCAGATGCCCAGACTAGATAGGGAGCAGTGACAAGATAGTTTGGGACTTGGTGTTACCCTTTTTCCATATGGGGTACCCCTTATACGTGGACAATTGTTATACAAGTGTGTCACTATTTAGACATTTGTACAATCTTGGACTTGGCACATGTGGAACCATGCCTCCTAATTGCCAGGGCTTCCCCAAATGGCTTCTAAAACTAAGCAGTGTGGAGCTGGCAGAGCCCCATGGGGTTCATTTTTGATGGAGCAGAGGGAGCTCAATGATTGGAGGAAAGTCAGGCTCTCCTCCCTGCTTTTTGTAGAACTTTTTTTTTTTTTTTTTTTCTTTCAAAGTTCCTAATCTGTCTGTGCACAGCACATTTGTAATGCACTTTGGTGCTTTATCAATGTGGGTATTTTTTTTTTTGTTTGTTTTTGTAAATGAGTCTTTTTACGGCCAGTGTCGATGGGCTTTTGTTTTTGTGGGTTCTGCATTTTCATACAAGTCTGTGGTAATGCATATCTTGCTTGAAACTGGTAAGAGGTAGGTCTTCTGCAAGAAGCATCTCAAGCTAATGTCATTGACCCAGATTCTTCAGCTGACCATACATACGTACTGCTTGCGCTCCTGACCCCTCCTTGCTGAGTGTAGGCCGCTTGCTCTGAGGGTATTTGTGCGTTCCTCGCTCCTGCGGTGGCTCTGTATGTCCATAAGACATACAGAGTGCAACTCGGCCCCACCCCCTGATCCCTCCTCACTGCCTGTGATTGAGAGCAGCAGGAGTCAATGGCTCCCGTTGCTGTGTCTCAGCCAGTGAGGTGAACGAGAGCCAAAACAGGCGAGACCCTCGTGCACAGCGCTGGATCGCGATCAGACTCGGGTAACTATCTAGGGGGCTGCAGGGAAGAGCTGCACATTGAAGGTTTTTTATCTTCATGCAAAAAGAAAATGTATTCAGACACAGCAAATAGAAGATACAGTGTTGAGGTGATTCAGAACCAGACCAGCCTCCAGTCTCCATAATGGAAAAACATTTATTATTATTATACAGGATTTATATAGCGCCAACAGTTTGCTCAGTGCTTTACAATATAACGGGAGACAATACAGTTCAATACAAATACAAGAGGGATTTGAGGGCCCTGCTCCTTGGAGCTTACAATCTAGACATTTATAGATTTCTTTCATTCAGCCTGCTAGCTGAACATATAGAATCGAACAGATTTGTCCATCCATGCTAAACATCACAAATGGATGAATCTCCACAGACAGCTATTGTATTCTGAGAGCCGGCATCAGTGGTTGTCAGAATATTTGAACAGTGGCTGCACCTGATTGGATGCAGTCACTGTTTGACCGACCGTTTTCCAACACACTCCTTCAACAAAAGCTGATTTAGCCGGATGAAGCTTACAGTGGGTTCCACAGCTTGAAGTATGAGTAGTGTGTATGGTAGCCTCTAGTGAAAAAGTGAAGCTTGCTAAATAACAATTTCTATATACGGTATACTGTATGATACCAAACCTTGTTAATCATTGGGTGTCTTTTCTGTTCATCCTGTCTCTGCAGTTGTGCTGCTTACTGTTAAATTGATATTTGAAGGTCTCATCTTAGAAAAGCAAAACTCTTGTGAAATTAACAGATATTCTCTATTCATTTGTTATTGAAATCTCACTCCTATATTAGGGCCAGGGAGTGACCTGTCTAATTCCAGCTGTTTGCTAAGTCTTTTCTGCTGTTCTCTTTTCTTTCCGATATGTTACATTCCTCAGTGTGGCGTTTACGAGTCTTTGTCACTTCACATCTACTGGCATTTCTTCAACCTTCACTCTGCAGGGACACAGGTTATAGTGCTGCCAAATGTACCATCTCTTTCCATTGTCCTGTCTGCCTGGTGTTTATGCTTTGCTTGTCTGCTTTTTAAAACCTGGTTTAATTATCCAAAAGAATTTGGTGTGTCCTTGAGGACAGGTGAATGTGTTAGCTGAATTCATCTGGTTATATACAATTCGAGTTTACTTTTGAAGTATAACTAAAGGCAAAACCTTTATTTTTAGTTTTGGATAGAGTGGAGAGGGCTTAGAATACATTTCAGGTTTTCATTGCTATCTGTGTCCCCCTTGGGAGATTCACCCTCCTTTTTTTTTTTTTTTTTTTTTTTTTTTATTTGTCCTGGTGAGTATTATAAAGCAAAATAAATTCCCAATTTTGAGTTGTCACCAGAAGAGGAAATCTTCAAATAGCGGTTCGGGCTCTGGTGACTACCAGGGATTTCCCTCACTTTGGAGGGATTTTCTCCATTCCTGCTGTGGCTGTAGGACAGGCAGTGAAGAGAAATCTGTCCAATAGGGCTCAGATGGGGGGAAAAAAAGAAAGTGAGTGGGGCTGTAATCTCCTCCTGAATTAAAAAAAAAAAAAGGGTTTTGGCTTAAGTTCTAATTCTAGATCTGTTGTATGTATGTATTGTTATTCTAATAGCATGAGCCAACATTTTGTACACTACCTGTCCTGTATGCTACTACCATATGTGATTTGTGGTGCAATACTAATGCCAATGATTAAAATATTACATGCATGTGGACGTTGTCTTATCCACTGTACTATTAAATGAGGCCTTGTAGGACAAGTAGTTAAACTAGTGTTGTTCCACATCTGTTCCGTGTAAAGATACTGAAAAGAAACTTAAGAGAAAAATCAGAGGTTGCATAGAATTTACTTAACCACTTCAAGTCCGGACACTTTTACCCCCTTCCAGTCCAGGCCAATTTTCAGCTTTCAGTGCTGTCACACTTTGAATGACAATTGTGCGGTCATGCAACACTGTACCCATATTAATTTTTTTGAGACCGCTAAAACTTTTGTGATATTTATTCACAACTGGGATTTTTATTTTATTTTTTTTGCTATATAAATGAAAAAGTCCAAAAATTTTGAAAAAAAAGTGTTTGCAAATAAATAATCTTTCTTCATAAATCTTGGCCAAAATTTATTCAGTTATCTTTTTAGTAAAAAAAAAAAAACAAATTAGTTTATAACCAAAAATTATAATTTTTCAAATTTTGTTTTTACATTTAAATTTTTTTTATTTTTATTTTTTAATGTACGTCATCCTAGCAGTACAATGTCACTGTAATGACACCGTACTACTTGTGGGGGGGTGATTTTTTTTTTTTTTTTTTTTTCTTTCTTTAACACTGATTGATTGCTTTTACACCCATAAAGGCTGTAAAAGCAATCATTTCTCCTTCTCTCTGGCTGCTTTCTTGCAGCCATTGAGAAATACTGTGTGAGCTGTGATTGGTCACAGTTTGTCACATGATACAAGGCTGCTGTGATAGCCTTGTACCATGTGATCTCTATGATCATTCACAGATTGCACAAGTAGTAAGCAATGATGTCAAAAGTGGCATCTTGCTTAGTACTATTCATGTGATCACTAATTGGCCAATCAGTGATCACATGATTGGGACCTCGCACAGAGGTCCCGTACAGCTATCGGTGTTCTGTTGTGTCCTCCGGACACAGCGGGCACCAGATCGCAGTGCTGCGTGCTCCCAGGGAGCACGCACAGTCCAAAATGGCGGGCGCCGTTTATGAATGGCAACCCGCTCCTGCACTGCCCCCGTCCGGCTGTTTATATACATGGGCCTGGATGGGAAGTGGTTTAAAAATGACGTCTTTCAGTTTCATTATAAAAATACAACCACCTTTACATTCCTCTTTTAGGTTGTTATGGGTGCAATGGTACTAGAGGCTGATATTCCTTGTCACATACAGCTCCACCTGCTGGTGGAAACTAGTCACAGTGGAATCGTCTTCAGCACTGATTTATCAAAGAGTTTTGTAGGCTTTTTGCTATTGCAAACCACAGCAACAAGGGAATTCAGGAGTTGGGACTGTGCCAATGCTGTTAAGGTATAGAGGCATGGGACATTATAATTAATCCACCTTCCGCCCACCATATAGTACAATGACTGGCGCAAGGTGGTTCTCTCATTCTAATAGGACGCCATATGACGTCCTTCCATTCTCACCGTGCGTGCGCGGCTCAGCGCCGGTGCGCTGTGTCCCTCGGACAAAGCGGCTCACGGAAAGAGCCGAAGATGTCGGCTCGGTCATGTGATCAGTTGTGTCCAATCACAGCTGATCACATGTAAACATGGAAATGCCGGTTATCGGCATTTCTCTCCTCTCGAGCTGTCACGTTGACAGCTCGAGAGGTGAGGAGAGCCGGTAATCGGCTTTCCGCGGAGGGGACATGTACACTGATCATCAGGGCACTGAAGTGCCACCTGTCAGTGTCCATTAGTGCCAGCAGTCAGTGCCAGCAGTCAGTGCCCATCAGTGCCACATAGTGCATACCAGTGCACATCAATGACACATATCAGTGCCCATCTGAGCTGCCTTTCAATGTCACCCATCAGTGCCAGTCAGTGCCACCTATCAATGCCAATCAGTGCTGCCAGTCAGTGTCGCCTATCAGTGCCAGTCAGTGTCGCCTATCAGTGCCATATATCAGTGTCATGTATCAGTGCTGCCTTTCAGTGCCCATCAGTGATGCCTGTCAGTGCCCATCAGTGCAACCTACCAGTGCCTCCTCATCAGTGCCAGCTGTCAGTGTCCATCAGTGCAGCCTATCAGTGCCCATCAGTGCAGCCTCATTAGCGCACATCAGTGAAGGAGAAAAATCACTTATTTACAAAATTGTATAACAAAAACTAAGAAAAAACTTTTTTTTTCAAAATTTTCAGTGGTTTTTGGTTTGTTTAAAAAAAAAAAAAATCCCAGAGGTGATTAAATACCACCAAAAGAAAGCTCTATCTGTCTCAAAAAAATGATAAAAATTTCATATGGGTACAGTGTTGCATGACCGTGCAATTGTCATTCAAAGTGTGACAGCGCTGAAAGCTGGAAATTGGCCTGGGCAGGAAGGGGGTATAAGTGCCCTGTAGGCAAGTGGTTAAACACACTTTCAAAAATGTGATTCACATATGTTTTCTATTCTCTTTACAGTCCGTAAGCGAAGAGTGGAAGGGGACTGCGAGTAAGCTTTATTTATTATTTGAAGAGCGTGCTCCATTGCTGAAAAAAATCTGCTCTGTTTGAGTAATCAGAGTCTCAGACCTGGCTGAGACGAAGGGAAGATACTGGAAAACAGCAGAACCATTATCTGATCATTCTTTCACTATATTAGACACCCTTGCTTCTTTTTATTAAACCTAGTTTAAACTCATTAGACAATGAACTGAAGAGCCATATATTGGATATTTGCAATTTAAAGTCTGCTTATGAAATGATAGGAATAGCCGTCATCCAAAAATATTTGATGGAAAGACCAGCTTAAAGAGATGTGGAATATGAAGACAGAAGCTTAATAGTATCATGTGCTGGACCTTAAAAAGGGAATGTCTTGGTTGCAGGGAACTTCAATACTGTGTCCTCTCATTAATTTACAACTGTCTAAAAAATATAATCAATGATATAATAAATGGTGAAGACTGTTATGTCAGAGTTATTATAGGAATAGTATTCCATTTCACTGCTATTTTGTATGAAAAAATTGGTGAAATGTATATATTAACGTAAAGAGTTTCCCTAATTGAACCAGAACTTTGTAGCAATGGTATAACTATCCATGATACTTTCGTCTGACAGATTATGGTAATTTGGATAAACAAAATATACCTTAGCATTTGGCTAAATGTACCCATACATAGAGTTTGTCTTAAATGTTATAGATTTACACACCTTGCATGACAATCACACACTGGTGTGTATGGGAAGACCAATCAGAACAGATAGCTTGGGAGTGAAGCATTGAGAAAAATGTAGATCCTGCACTCATAATGTATCGTGCGATTTCTTCATTATGTGCAGCCAATAGGGTACAATATGCACTGAAGACTATATTCCTCCATCCGGTGAAAGTGGCATACAGCTGTATTTGAGCGGTTGAATAGTTTGTAAAAGAACAATGAAAAATCTCCATCTACAAGCATCTTTAAACTGGAGGCATTCTGTGGTAGTGTAGAACAGAGAGCCTTGTGGTTGCCATTAGACTCCATCAGTTCATACTTCTAACTTTTGTTCGTATCCACAAAAACTAGGCTAACTGTGGGGTAATCATGATCTTTGAAGACACAATTTGTGGAAAAATACTATTGCTCCCAGATTAATTCAGGGCTGCCCAGGTGAGCCAGGTTCCTCACAGAGTGTTCTCCAATAGATATTAGACAATTAAGCAAAGTGCGGTGCCACAAGTAAAAGGGTTTTTTGGCTGTTAAGGACTTGAGTTGTGATTCCCTAGGTCAACTGTTACCCCATTTTCTGACATCCAACTATTGTCTAATTTCTGTGACCAGCTGTAGACTAAATTAAATTCAGTTTTAAAGGAATCATTTAGAAAAAAAAAAAACTACAGCTGGTTCCTGTAGCAAGCCACTTTACTGCTTTATTTAAAAGCTGAAACGTAATCATTATGGGTACCTGCTCCAGTTTTTGTATATGTTTTAGACCTAAGGACATGTTGATTGGTAGGATGAAGTGATAATTATATTTTTGTATACTCAAGTGCTGGATTTTATTCCTAATTATCAAACACAAATGCAGACCTATGGAAAACCACTTCTCCAGCAAGATGACTTCTTCGGTAATACAAGGTATTGAACGATTTCCATCAGTTTTATGATATCATTCATGGAGAAATGTACAAGCTACAAAAAAAGAACAATTGATAACTTCAGGGAAACAGAATGTACCAAATATCACGGCCCAGGCAGCTATATATCTGGGTATGCTATTTTATGTCTTAACCGCGTTTGCCTGCGGTTTTACAGTGTAAAAGCAGGAATATGTCTTAACTATGTTCATGAATTAAGGGATAGCCCCAGTAAACATTGATGTTATTTAGATTTCATTGTCTGAACTCCATGTTTACTTTCATAGTTATGTGAGTAAAATAACATTTTATTTCCTTTATCATTCCTAATTTAGATGCTGAAATTATGTACATTGGCTGTATTTTTTGTTATAGTTTATACATCATTAAAGGGTGCCAAACACTGTATTGTGTTAGAAGAAAATCATGTGTAAAATATATACTACTTTTGCCTTCAAATGAAAGCCCTTTATGTTTTCAGCATTTATAAATAAAGATTTTTTTTTCAATGTGTGTATCTTCATAGGGATAGGTGTCGTTAAACCAGCTGTGCCTGCTTTCTACACAGATAAATAAAAATAATTATCCAAAACTAAAAAAAAAAAAATAGCCTTACATACACTTTAAGTATAGAGTCAAGAATGATTAAATCCTTGTTAGAAAAATGAAAAGGTGAAATAACTCTCACTGCCTTCCCAGTTCCCACTATACTTGCCTCCTTGGGTGATTAGCTGTCAATGCCCAGGCAACATAGTGCAGGAGTCTGGGGATTCTAAATCCACGCCGTTTATTCTGCAGCAGTTCCTGGATGGATCAAAGCAACTCTGATTTGTCAGCACTGATACAGAACATGGCTCTGACCTGTCCTGGAAGCACTAGAGAAAGAAGAGGAGAAGAGTGGGGTTTTCAAATGCCTGGACTGCTGCACAGGCTGCCTAGGCACTGACAGATTGTCACCCACACAGGTAAGTACGTCAGGGGATGGGAGGGTGTACAGAGTTCACCTTTTCATTTTTTCTGAAAAGGTGAACTAACCTTTTATAAGGACTGGTAATTCTGGACATACTCAGAACTGATGATATTACTTATAGATTAGCAAAATATGCCTGTTTCAGAATAGATATGGGGGATATTGTAGAATGTAGAACAACACTTTTGTGGGCAGGATGTGCAGGAGATGAGTGCACTACAGTGCCTTGAAAAAGTATTCATACCAACTTCAAATGTATTCACTCATTCCCCACAGGCCACTCAGTTTACACATGGGCAGAATTACGGGATAAACATCAAGCCCCCTCCACGGAACTTTTCCGATATCTCCAGATCAAATGTTGGGTAAACTCAAGTAGTCCTTACTGATAAACACCTGACCACACAATTATCCTTGTTCGAACACATATGCCACTGGACGCCTCTCTCTCCTAAACATATCTCTATCCTGTACTCACAAATAACTAACTTACAGAACCCCAACAATCATGCTTACGTTTTCAGATGGGAAAGAGATCTTAGAGGCACTAAAGATCGTGTGTGCTGGTCACAAATATGATTAACGCTGACCTTATGTTCTATCAACGTCCTCAGTATGGAATCGGCTTTCAAAATGGTGACAAGATGGTATCTTGTCCTGTCCCGCTTAGCATTTCTTCACCATCCGCTCCTAATATTTGCTTTTAAGGTTGTAACGCTCCGGGCGATTTTCTACACATATGGTGGACATGCCCTGTGCTTTCCAGATTTTGGTCTAAGGTTCTCAAACTACTCCAGTCACTACTTACTTGCCCTTTTCCGAGAGACCCTTGGTATGCTTTTACACTTAAAACCTCCGGGCATGTCTTAAGCACCAAATTAAACCAGCCACCCATGTACTCTTGGCGGCCAAAGCATAGCAATAGCCTGGAAACAGCAGTTTGTATCCTTTACAGAAGTTCACCGCCATCTAGACTTTTTTTTAATAAACAAAAAACTGTCTAGCATCTTCTCAGACACTCATGAGAGATTCTTCAAAACTTGGACTCCATGGATCCAACACGCCCATCCCGAGATTTCAGTGAACAGCTTCACTCCACTATACCCCTCTTGAACTTTCCAAATTCAACTCAAGCGTTCTGAATGTCCACCTCTTTCAATCTGCTTCTACTTCTTCCTCTTTCTTTCATTTCTGTTTTTTGACTCCCTACAACTCACGAGATGTCCTACATTTCTTAGTTTGATAGCATATCAGTATATCTCAAATGCTATACCCTTGACCAGTGATGGCGGTTGAGCTACAGACATACAACCCTTTCTGTGCACTAACTAACCGACAAAAGAATGTATGTTCTATTTCTACCTTTTGATATGTTGTTTAGAACACTGCCTATTCTAATTACGTGTTTACGTGTTTTTGTACTTAAAAATACTAAATAATTTATAAAACAAATTATTGAAATTTTCCACATTTTGTCATGTTACAACCAAATACGTAAATGTACTTTATTGGGATGTTATGTGTTAGACCAACACAAAGTGGCCCATAATTGTGAAGTGGAAGGAAAATGAGAAATGGTTTTCAAATTTTTTTTTTACAAATATCTGAAAATTGTGGCGTTCATTTGTATTCAGCCCCCTTTATTCTGATACCCCTAACTAAAATCTAGTGGAACCAACTGCCTTCAGAAGTCACCTAATTAGTAAATGGTGTCCTCCTGTGTGTAAATTAATCTCAGTATAAATAAAGCTGTCCTGTGAAGCCCTCAGAGTTTGTTAGAGAACATTGCTGAACAAACCGCATCATGAAGGCCAAGGAACACACCAGGCTGGTCAGGGATAAAATTGTGGAGATGTTTAAAGCAGGGTTAGGTTTAAAAAAAAAAAAATATCCCAAGCATTGAACATCTCACGGAGCACTGTTCAATCCATCATCTGAAAATGGAAAGTATGGCACAACTGCAAACCTACCAAGACATGGCCGCCCACCTAAACTGACAGGTGGGACAAGGAGAGCATTAATCAGAGAAGCAGCCAAGAGGCCCATGGTAACTCTCGAGGAGCTACAGAAATCTCTGTCCACAGGACAACTATTACTCCACAAATCTGGCCTTTCTGGAGGAGTGACAAGAAGAAAGCTAGAAGAAGTCCAGTTTGAGAGAAGCCATGTGGGGGACACAGCAAACATGGAAGAAGGTGCTCTGGTCAGATGAGACCAAAATTGAACTGTTTGGCCTAAAAGCAGAAGGCTATGTGTGGCAGAAAACTAACACTGCTCATCATCCTGAACATACCATCCCCACCATAAATTTTACACTCTAGATGTGCAAAGCTGGTAGAAACATGCCCAAAAAGACTTGCAGTGGTAATTGCAATAAATGGTGGTTCTACAAAAGATTGACTCGTGGGGGACTGAATACA